GATTGATCGCGCTTAAGGTGGCTTTCAGACTGCATACATTATTTTTTGTCTCCCCCCTCCTCTTTTCCGAACATAGATGGACTCGTCCATCTGAACAAACTGTCAGATCGCTATCCGTGGTGCTAACGTAAAAAAACGCCTGATGATTGCTTGTGTTGCAGTCGAAACGAGAATTTTATTGTTTTATATTTTTATTATTTTATTGTTTCCCTTCTACGTGACTTTACCGAAAGAAGGTCTGGCTCTCAGAATAACTCTCCCAAATAATCAACAGATATTGGTAGTGTGCTGCTATTGGCCGCCTAGTGGTAAGGATGTTGAAGCTGCGTTTGCACTGAGAGCGCTTCTTGGGGGGCCTCCCTAAAGGTGAAATAGTTTTAGTGGGTAATCTAAATTGGAATTACCCGCCGGCCGTGGCCACAAATTTTGCAGATGAATTTAACCTATTTAATTAATAAATGTCCTCACAAGACCCCACCTAAAAAATCCGGGACAGTCATCTCTACTTGACGTCTTATTGACAAATGCCCCTCACAAGAAATAGTTTTAGTGGGTAATCTAAATTGGAATTACCCGCCGGCCGTGGCCACAAATTTTGCAGATGAATTTAACCTATTTAATTAATAAATGTCCTCACAAGACCCCACCTAAAAAATCCCGGACAGTCATCTCTACTTGACGTCTTATTGACAAATGCCCCTCACAATTTCGCACTGACTGGTGTTCTGGGTAATAACCTTAGTGATCACTCCTTCATATTTGGGGTGAGATCAGCCAGACCCAAAGGCCCCCCCCCCCTAAATTGGTTGAGAAGCACTCCATGAGACACTTCAGCATACAAGCATTTACTAATGATGTGCTTCACTCGGATATTTGCAAGGTCTGTGATATCCCCAACCTGACTACGGCTTGGGAGACCTTCAGGTACTGTACCCGTTTCTCCAAATTATTAACAAACATGCTCCGTTGGTTAGATTTAAAACTAAAGGCAACCACCCACCATGGGTTGATCCTTTGATTGCTAAGCTCATGAAAACTAGCGACAAGGCTTGGGCATGTGCTCAGAAAAGCAATTTGGTCAATGACTGGCTAGAATACAGGATTTTAAGGAATAGATGCGTCAAAAAAATACGGAATGCAAAAAATGCTTACTTTTCCTCCACTCTCCTGGAATCACATGGCAATGCCAAAATCTTCTGGAGAACAATCAAATGTTTTGAAACGGCATCCAACACAGATAATCTGCCCGTTGTGCTTATGGGAACTATGGGAACTATTTTTCAGAGCCCAAAAAATAGTCGACAATTTTAACCTTCATTTTTCTGAAACTGGTGACCTTTTTGATAATGTATTGGGAGTCACCCCTGCTCATGCAATTTCCTACACCAAACATTAAACTAATTTAGTTTCCAGCCTATCCACGAAAGTAATGTTCTGAAACAACTGTCCTACCTCAAAGGGTCATCCTCTACCAGAGCGGATAGTATTCTTGTCTTTGCTCTGCTAACTGTTGGTCACCTAATATGCAAACCTAAAGCCCATATTTTCAACCTATCCATCAAAGAAGCATCAGTACCCCGAGAATGGAAACATTCCTATGTTCGTCCACTTCACAAAGGGGGCCCTAAATATGATCCAAATAACTACCGACCTATCTCAATTTTGTCCCCGTTGATGAATATTTTTGAAAAATTATTGAACTACCAAATGAGCAGTTTCCTGTCCGACAACAATCTATTACATCGAAACCAATCTGGGTTCCGAAAAAAACACAGCACCACATCTGCTGCATTAGACTCTCTGAATCACGTTTACAGTAGCCTTGATAATAAGCAGTACTGCACCAGTCTTTTTCTTGACTTGTCCAAAGCCTTTGATAGAGTGGACCACAACACCCTGCTTAGTAAACTAAGTTGCCTCCATTTCTCCAAACCCGCAGTAGAATGGTTAAAAAATTACCTTTTTTCTCGCACCCCAAACTGTATTCACAGATGGTTGGAGGTCAAACAGTGTTAAGATAACAAAAGGGGTTCCACAGGTTTCCATCCTCGGCCCCCTCTTGTTCTCTCTTTATGTCAATGACTTGGGCACTGACCTGGATCATCCAGGGTAAATCTGTTTGCAGATGACATGATACTAATTACTGCTGGCCGCTCTCCGGATGACGTGATTGCTAAGCTCCAGGGTGATTTCAACAAAGTACAACATCAGCTAGTTGCTCTTAAACTAGTCATGAATACCTCCAAACCAAGGTGCGATGCTTCTCACCAGGACTAAAGCAGGAATTTATCTTTCCCAAATTATATTCATTAAATATTCATCAAATAGATCTATAAGTATCTTGGGGTCATCTTTGATTCAAAACTGAATTTTCAAGATCACATTGACTATATTGGTAAAAAGACAAAATTTCAAATTGGTTTTCTGTATCAACACAAGCACTGCTTCCCCACCACTGCGATCTCTACATTGGGTCAAACTTAACTTCTCTTAATGATCGACGGCTTGTGCATCAGATTGTATTTATTCACGATGTACTTACAAAAAAATCAGCAGACTACCTGCTGGATCTCCTAACTGTTTCGAAGAACAAATGTGACCTAAGGTCTTTGCTCATTTGTCAGCTTCATATTCCTCATTGCCGTACAAATACTGGAGGAAGGGCCTTTTCTATTGATGCCCCCAGAGTCTGAAATGCTATCGCCAACAAACTGCAACTTGGATCACTACCTGTGAGATCTTCACTCAAAACTTCTCTAGAGGAGTTTTACACCCCTAGCTGCCACTGCTATTCAGAATGGCCTGAAATCAAATGTGTCATTCCGGATGACCGCTGCAAAGTATGATCTTGAGTTTTGATTATAGACTGCTGATCTTTAAAGGTGTATTGAAAAATGTTGATTCTGCTACCGATACTCCTTCTGTTATAGAGTGACTCATGCAGCCAAACTATGGCTGCAAATGAATTACTGCAGTCACGAAAGCTTTAAATCAAAATGTATGGCTGCAAAGTGTAGGCATACATGTTACGTATATCGTTTATTGTTAAATTTGAATGACAGTTTCTATGGTCACTGTTACATTGTTTTTATAGCTTTATTTTGGTGATTTTGAAAGGTTTTGGTTTAGCCATGTTTGTTTGTTGTAGTACAGTTAGCCTGATAACTTTAATCTACATTGTCTTATGGTTGTTATTGTTTGACTTGCATCCCACTGGGATTTTTTTCTGGAAGACTTTGCTGTTTTTTCCAGGATTTTTCTGTTGCATGTAGTCACTTTAAGATGTTTCTTGTTCATGTTTTTGTTTTTTTGCGGTTCCACCCGAGTCAAGAGCCGCATGGCTCATAAGGTTATACCTAATAAATGAAACTGAACTGACACACACACAAACACATCGACTTACGCACACACACACACATATGGACTCAAACACACACATCGACTCACAACAACCGCAATTCGCCACTAAGTGGTGGTGACGTCACCACGACGCTTGTGCCAGGCCGTATGCACCTTGAGGCCACGTGAAGTGTCGAACGCCCGCTGGCAGGTCACGGGGCAGACGCAGGTGCCACGGGTCGACTGACTGAGATGACCACCTGTGCCCCCTACTGTGCCAACTTGCTGTGCTTTAGCCACCAGGCGCTCCACTCGTTGTTGTGAGCGTTGCTCCTCCGCCCTCTGTTGTTGGAGGGCGACTGCCTCCAATTGCCCAGTAGCATCCTTAACAAACCTCCACAGAGGCCGATCTTGACACCGCTGGTACCAGTCAACGGCAAGTCCACTCAGCTCCACGTCCTCCTGTACCACATCACTCCATCTCTTCTCTAGCCCATGCCGCACCCGTTTAGCCCCCTCGATCCGGCCGATCAAAAGCTGTTTAGGCATGCGGTGGCTGGGCATGCGGGCTACATGACCCAGCCAACGCAGCCTTGCCTGCCGGAGGAGCTCACCGATAAAACTTTGCCCAGATCTTTCAAGAATTTGTGAGCTCACATAATCCAGCCTGGTTAAACCCAGGATGGATCGTAGGCAGGCCAGCCTAAATGTTTCTAACCGGCGAAGATGCTACATTAGGGGGGTCCACGTTTCGCAAGCGTAGAGAAGAGAGGGAATGACCGTGGCCAAGAAGACCTGAAGCTTCTTGCGGAGCGACAGACCAGACAGCTTCCACACAGTGTTACGCAACCGATGAAAATGTAATGCTGCTCGACTGATTCGGAGTGAGACTTCTGCTGTCAAACCGGAGCCAGTCATAAGCACACTGCCCAGATATGTGAAACTCTCCACTCTCTCCACAACTGCCCCATCACCAATTGGAAGCTGTGGGGTGGAGTGGTCGATGGTACAAATACCTAGGCAGGTGCTTAGTTTTGGTGGGGCTGATGGTAAGGTCCCACCTCTTAGTGGCACGCTCCAGTTTCAGCAGAAGCGTCTCCAACTCCTCCTCTGAGTGAGCAGCGATTACCAGATCATCGGCATACATAACATAGTTGAGCAATAGGAAGCCATCTCTTGACCGCACCCAGGCATCGATCAGCCTCCCATTGTATCTGTACCAAATGGAAATTCCCCCGGTACAGCTATTGAAGGCTTCACGAACTACGTGGTCAAAATAGATGTGAAATAATGTGGGAGCCAGAGGACATCCCTGTCGCACCCCAAGGTGTACAGCGAATGGCTCCGACTCCCAGCCACGTAGTTTTACCCGGGCCCGCTCACCATCATGAAGGTCCTTAATGATCGTGAGCAGAGGGTCAGGGACTCCGAAAGCACGGAGAACAACCCAGAGCCCAGGCCTACTGATGGAATTCCCTACACCTCTGCTGTAGCAGATGGACAGAAAATATGGCATCTGTGCAGGACCGCCCTTTCCTGAAACCGCATTGGGGCTCCGCAAGCCTCTCCTCAGCGTGCCTAGCAAGGCAATGTTGAATAATCACACACAGACAGACAAAAAAAAAAATCACTTTTATATATAAAAATAAAAGAAACAAGAATAGAAAGATTATACATTTATTTTTCTGTTCGTTTTAAAACAATAAAATAGCACATTATTTCTGGAATTACGAGGCACTGTGTTAACATTATGCCAAACCCCGACCAGACATTGCTTGTATTAGAATCAATATTGATGAAATTATACACTCCGAGAATGCATACAGCTGATAAGTTGGGTAAGAAATAATGTGGAGAGATGGACATCTGAAGGAGATATATTGTCTGCCTATTTATTTTGTATAAATATAAAAAAATGCTTCTGGGATTCAGATACTGATATCATGATACCTACAGGTATTGCCAGGGGCGAAGCCAGGATTTCAGGCCGGGGTGACATTCAACTAATTTTAATTTCAAGAATGATTAGAGAGTCAGGCTGTTGAACTAGACGCCATCGGTTGACGACACACTCTGACAATGCAGTTGCACGGAGTCCGCCAGACCGAGTGTCGTACACTTATACGCAGAATGTCACCCCTGTCACCCCCCCTGGCTCCGCCCCTGGGTATTGCACATCCCAACAGTAAATATGTGCAAGTATGGTCCACATGTCTGGCGAGTGCATTCAGGCCAGCATGTGGTGTCTTTGGGACTGGTGTAGTCTATGGTAATGTGGTGTTGTCCATGGGAATGTGTTATCATCTATGGGAATGTGGTATCATCTATGGGAATGTGATGTCCGTGGGAATGTGGTGTGCGTGGGAATGTGGTATCCGTGGGAATGTGGTGTCGTCTATGGAAATGTTGTATTATCTATGGGAATGTGGTGTCATCTATGGGAATATGGTGTCGTCTATTGGAATGTGATGTCTTGGGGCTATGTTCTTAGCTTGACTCTGACTTGGCCTCTAACACAGTTCAACTCAGGTTTAAGCTATTCATTTGCTTCCAAAGACGCATCGGTGAGTGGCTTAGCCATGGCTTGGCTCCGGGTCAGCTCATGGAATCCCGAGCATGGTTGGGACCATGCTGAGAGCCAGTGGCTTTGAGCTGGCTCTCTTGAGCCAGAGCCAAGCCTGCACCAAGCCGAGACAAAAGAACAAAGGTATATTAGTGTGTGTCTGTGTGTGCATTGTGCCAGCTTCCTCAATGCCCCGTCGGCAGCTGTGCCTTGCTGGGCAACAAGGGGGTGAGTCTTGCACCCCCCAGCCTGAACACGCGCTGCCCAGGTGGATGTGGGGGGTCGCCTGTGCGCACACGAGTGTCCCCCCGTGACTCCTGTCCACCTCCTCGCACCACTGGCCGATGCATTCCCCGAACAGCGGCAAGTGGGGTATACACGCTGGAAAGAGACCTGTGCTCAAGCACACACAAAGACAAAGATCCATGTCTACCTATCTAGACTGCTGAGGCAAGTTACTAGCGAACATCTATTAAGTTACACATGGCTGATGTCAGAATAAGAATATTTATTTATCCTGGAAGAATCTGATGAGCTATGAAGCTCTTTTTCACGGCTGATGTATGTATGTTGAACTTCTTTTGCACCGTACGAAGCAAACTGTCCTAATCGGACGTGCGGATTAGCATGGTTGTTTACGTTTCAATTTTAAACAAAATACCAAAGCAGAAAAAGCAGAAAACTGACCAAACAAGAAAATAATAAAAACTGAGTGTAAAGTAAATTAAACCGTAAAATCCAGAAAACTTCACATGAAGCTAAACTGAAAAGATAACTGCAAGTCACATAATGTATACATTGCAGCCCTCAGAGCCGGGCTGGCTGAAGTAAAACTTAACATTTTGTATGAAGTTTGTGCTTTGTGATTGGGCTGAGACTTTCAACTACTTTGAGAACCTAGTTTAATCAGGGGTGATTGAATGGTGGACTCGCACGCAACTGTCAACAGTGCTAGTTCAGTACTCGGACACAAGCACCTGGCATGTATTTCTAAAATAACTGAATATCACATGTTCTACCTCTTACACCTGAAGAATACCTTTACACTTACTCCACACCTCACCGTGGTTACTAAACACTGCAATGTGTCTTTCTCAAGCAGTGCACGCAAACCTGATAGTGTGCGTGCTGCGTGTTCCAGAGTCCACCAGGGTGAGCGGCTCCCCTGTATGCCTGGGCACAACGACGCCAAATTGCTTCGCTGGTGGCGACGTCGCCGGTTGCAATGGCAGCGCCGATAGTGATTGTGGTTGCGGTGTCCTTGGGAAAGCGGCGCCAGCTTGAGTAGTTGATGTCACCCGGCACTTGTCAGAAACCGTCACCCGACCTACAGACACAATCCCAGCACCGAAAGCGCAAGCCTGTGAGCCAGCATCTGGAGGTGTTGGTACAGGCATGAAGCCGTTTTGTGTGACACCCGCCAGCATGGGATAGAGGTGCCTATAGGGGGCAGCAGAGAAAATAGGTGTCCGACATACATGCCAAAAGTATTTTGATAACATGGGCTGGGTAACACACCATGAAGAGTAATTTCCTTCTGTCCGAGATTTAGCTCAGTTGGTAGAGCAACAGGACTCCCAATCATCAAGAGGAACGATGCCAACCCCAGCTGCAAGCGATTATTAAATTCTTGCTTGTAACTTTCCTCAGCTAGCCCAGAATAGGCTATTGTGGGTTTTGAATGGAAACCTCAGTGGATGCCCACCACAGCAGTGGAAGTACGTCATTTGCAGCTTACAGATGACAAGCCGATGGTCAGTGGGAAGATCAGTTGCAGGGTAGGTCCTGGTTTCAAGAATTTGGGCCCGCATTTGATGTTTCGTCGCTATATAGTACAGTAGATATTCTTGCTTGGACCCGGCGTACATCCATTGTTGTGTGGATGCACCGATGCAGGAAGAGTGTGTTTATGATTACAAGCCTACGGGTTGCACATAAGTCTAGCAGCCTTGTATTGTTATTGAGCTGATCTGGCTCAATAACAGGTGCGTGCTTCATGACCTACTTGGGCATTAAAGTCACCCAACAAGATGACTCTATCCCAAGGGGCCACTTTAGCCAAAACCTGGGATAGATAATATAAGGCATTTCGCTCATCAGCCTTGCCTGCATTCCTTCAAACACAGACACAAATAGGGACATTGGGAGACAGATTACAGAGGCGCACAGACACGAATACACTCAGTTATGAAAATTCTTGTCACGAATGTTGACAGTATCCTTTGATTTCCTTGCTCTTAGTAAGATACACATGAACGAGGGATTGGGAATTCTCTCTCAGCTACAATGCATTCTCACCCACCCACCCGGATCCACAATTAATTTTTGATTTGGTGTGCTTCGAAGATCGAGCAAGTTCAAAGTATACTTTGAAATGAAAAATACTGTCACACCACGACCAGCATAACTACCGTCCAGTTGGAGCACGTGGTAGCTCTCTAGTCCAGATGATTTTGCACATGGTTGGGGGACTGCATTATTGTAATTAATTGATAATCAATTCAAGTCTAGTATTGTTCTAGTCATGTTTATTTTAGAATTAGAAAATATAAAGTTTTATTGTATTTTGTTTTCTGATCCACCTGGAAACCTCTTGCAACCCACTAACGGGTCATGACCCATAGTTTTGGAAGTGCAGCTTCAACCCATCGGTGGGAATTCTACAAATCTTAGTTTTGGAAGCGCAGCTTCAACCCATCGGTGGGAATTCTACAAATCTATGATGGAGACCGGTCATCAATAAGCTGACCACTGCCAAAAGAAAACACACTGAGACCCAAGAGACAACCACCTTTGGCATATCAAGGTGGCAGGAGGTAGAATGGTTATTAAACTGAGTGAGCGTTACACTCACTCAGTTTAATAACCATTGCTATAGTCTACATCATAGACTGCCAATACGCTCACCAGCTTAAAACCAGGCTACAGTGTACATCAAGGCCGTAATTATAATATATATTGGGGGGGACACATATTGGGGGAGACACATCCCCCCCAATATTCAAATATGCTCAAAATGCCCCCCCCCCAATATATTGCTATAAAATAGATTTTTTATATTATTGTGGTTATGGTTGTACTTTATTAATCCCTAATCTCTGCCATTTCATACAATAAAACAAGAAAAGGTAAAAAAAGAAAAAAATAGAGCAATGTAATAAATACAATGCACAAAATCCGTGATCTGATTTCGTCAGTAAAGGATGTTATTCCTGACTTACAGTATCCCGGTGTTTACAAATTGAGTTGTACCTGCGGGGACTGCTATATCGGGGAGACGAAGCGACATATCTCTGACCGAATTTGCGAGCACAAATCAGATTTTAAACACAGCAGAACGAATTCTTCTGCCGTGGCTGATCATTGTTACAACGTTGTGGGTGATCCTGATATTGTTTTCTCCGATACAAAGGTGCTCTGCAAACCTACCGGTTATTATCAGAGATTTGTCCACGAGGCCATCTAGATTTACAAACACAGACACAACTTCAACCGAGAGGATGGTTTCAAATTGAGCAATCACTGGAAAGATGTTATAAATCAAGTCAAACGTTAGCTGTCTTTCAATTTTTTGTACAGCCATTTCCTTTTCTCAGTGGTTGTATATCAAACTTTAGCTACCTTATAATTGAACAGCCGTTTGCCGCCGCTTTAAAAAAATGGAGCTGTACACATGCAGCATGTCTCTTCCTCCCCCCGACCCCCACGCAGCATAACAAAAGGTGGGTTTTACCCACTCTCGTGCAGTGCGAAGTGGTTGTTACCCGCAGTAGTCTATAAAAAGGCTGTTTAACCCAGCCCTCCCACCCACCCACGCCCCCTTACTGACTCCTCCCCCCCCCCTTAACCTGTATATAATCCCGGTCGTATCTGAACTGTGCTCCTAACACAAATATTCTGTGTTGACTATTCCACCTGAAGACGGAAGCTTGTGATGCCTCCGAAACGTCGTGATTTAATTGTTTGATTTTATTTTGTTTTATCTTATCTACGTGACTTTACCGAATAAAACCAAAGAGTACTATTAGAAATTATTGTAAAAAATTAATAAAAAGTCCATCCAATGTGTTAGTGAATTTTTTAATATTTAAGGTAGGAAATTCGTTTTCAAATTTAGATTTTTTTTCTGGGGAGGGGACCCCCAGACCCCCTGGCAGATTTGGTCCCCCCCAATGCTGATTCCATGGCTACGGCCTTGGTCTACATTATAGACTGCCAGTACACTCACCGAGGTTAAGAACCAGGCTACAGTCTACATTATAGACTGCAAGTACATTCACCCAGCTTAATAATCATTGCTACAGTCTACATAATAGACTGCCAGTACACTCACCGAACTTAATAACCAGGCTACAGTCTACATTATAGACTGCCAGTACACTCACTCCGATTTAGAACTAGGCTACAGTCTTTTTCATTGAGACCTCCTTTGCCAGAAACAAGATATAAGAATAGGTTTTACCCTTTTAACTGGCACAAAAACTGACACCTTTATTCAAGGCATCATGTTTGCAATAACCACAACACAAGCAGTCAAAATGCAAACAAAAAAGACAACTCTGATAATAATATGCACTGTCCTTGAATTTGATTGGTCCACACCCGAGACAGCTTTTCTTAGAGCCTAGTCTCCATTGGTGTTGGACCAGAAGACGCCAAAAGGCGTACAACTCAAAAACAGCGCACTATCAGAGTATTGAGGGCTCGGGGTGAGCATTAACATTATGAGACCTCCTTTGCCAGAAACAAGATATAAGAAGAGGTTTTACCCTTTTAACTGGCACAAAAACTGACACCTTTATTCAAGGCATCATGTTTGCAATAACCACAACACAAGCAGTCAAAATGCAAACAAAAAAGACAACTCTGATAATAATATGCACTGTCGATTTAAAGCTTTCGTGACTGCAATGATTCATCTTCTTTGGTTCTTTCGGTAAAGTCACGTAGAATGAGAATAAAATAATAAATTGATAAAATAAAATAACACAACACAATAATATTCTCACGACGTTTCGGCCACAACACAAGCGGCCTTCATCAGGTGAAGGGAGCGAGACAGTCTCGCTCCCTTCACCTGATGAAGGCCGCTTGTGTTGTGGCCGAAACGAGACAGTCTCGCTCCCTTCACCTGATGAAGGCCGCTTGTGTTGTGGCCGAAACGTCGTGAGAATATTATTGTGTTGTGTTATTTTATTTTATCAATTTATTATTTTATTCTCATTCTACGTGACTTTACCGAAAGAACCAAAGAAGAATATGCACTGTCCTTGAATTTGATTGGCCCACACCCGAGACAGCTTTTCTTAGAGCCTAGTCTCCATTGGTATTATCAGAGTTGTCTTTTTGTATGCATTTTGACTGCTTGTGTTGTGGTTATTGCAAACATGATGCCTTGAATAAAGGTGTCAGTTTTTGTGCCAGTTAAAAGGGTAAAACCTATTCTTATATCTTGTTTCTGGCAAAGGAGGTCTCATAATGTTAATGCTCACCCCGAGCCCTCAATACTCTGATAGTGCGCTGTTTTTGAGTTGTACACCTTTTGGCGTCTTCTGGTCCAACACCAATGGAGACTAGGCTCTAAGAAAAGCTGTCTCGGGTGTGGACCAATCAAATTCAAGGACAGTGCATATTATTATCAGAGTTGTATTTTTTGTTTGCATTTTGACTGCTTGTGTTGTGGTTATTGCAAACATGATGCCTTGAATAAAGGTGTCAGTTTTTGTGCCAGTTAAAAGGGTAAAACCTATTCTTATATCTTGTTTCTGGCAAAGGAGGTCTCATAATGTTAATGCTCACTTAGAGCCCTCAATACTCTGATAGTGCGCTGTTTTTGAGTTGTACGCCTTTTGGCGTCTTCTGGTCCAACACCAATGGAGACTAGGCTCTAAGAAAAGCTGTCTCGGGTGTGGACCAATCAAATTCAAGGACAGTGCATATTATTATCAGAGTTGTCTTTTTTGTTTGCATTTTGACTGCTTGTGTTGTGGTTATTGCAAACATGATGCCTTGAATTATTATGAATTTTGAATAAAGGTGTCAGTTTTTGTGCCAGTTAAAAGGGTAAAACCTATTCTTATATCTTGTTTCTGGCAAAGGAGGTCTCATAATGTTAATGCTCACCCCGAGCCCTCAATACTCTGATAGTGCGCTGTTTTTGAGTTGTACGCCTTTTGGCGTCTTCTGGTCCAACACCAATGGAGACTAGGCTCTAAGAAAAGCTGTCTTGGGTGTGGACCAATCAAATTCAAGGACAGTGCATATTATTATCAGAGTTGTCTTTTTTGTTTGCATTTTGACTGCTTGTGTTGTGGTTATTGCAAACATGATGCCTTGAATAAAGGTGTCAGTTTTTGTGCCAGTTAAAAGGGTAAAACCTATTCTTATAGGCTACAGTCTATTTTAGCGGTTTTGTTTTTGATTAATTTATTTTTATTCACTTTATTTTTATTATTTTTCTATCTACGTGACTTTACCGAAAGAACAAAATATGAATTCCTGCAGTCACGAAAGTTAAGTAAAAATTTAAGTACATACACATGCACACAGTAGGCAGTGTATATTGAAGACAATATTATTGACCCGTCTAGACATGCCGGCTGCGATGACCTGTGGCGGAAGGTGCGTTCTTGGCATAAAGTGCTGCATTGGGGATGCTCGCGTCCCTGCTGAAGCTGCGCCGGGCCCCTGGCATACGGAGTGCCACGAGCTGGCGATTTGGTGGCAGCCGGGGATGCCGGTGGAGCGTGGGAGGGGAGGGGAACTTGGAGGTTCCCACGGAGACGCGGGCTGCCAAGGAAGATGTGGGGCTGAGATCAGAACCTTTAAAGGGCAGAATGGGGATCGATGGAGAGTAGAGAGATGGGAAGAGAGAGTACATACATTTTTGTCCAACTCATTGAAAACAGCCATTTCTTATATTAATTATCGATTAGTTTCCATTATTACATTTCTGAAAACTGTTCTTTAGAACTCACAAACATTGTTGTCAGTATTTCAGCATTGCCAATAAAAATGCGTATGAGCACAGTGACGCTGTTGAATGCACACCACCAAGAGGGCACAGGGGGGCTGGGGAGACGCCCCGATCGGAGCCGCCCTCCGAGACGCTGTCCTCCCCTGAGACGCTGTCCTGCTGATCGCCCTCAGCCTCCCCAATGCTGCTTCTGTTGCTTCTGCTGCTGCTGCGCTTCACGTCCCCACCGTACGTAATGCTCAGCACCTGGGGTTCGTGCTTCTGTGCAAATGTCTTCATGTTCCTGTGTGAGGCACGTGCAGCGGTGGTGAGGAGTGAAGAGTGCGGGTGAGGGTGAAATGTGAGTATGTGCATTAAGCATAAGTAGTATAAGTGTGTATATGGGGGTTGATAATTATTTTGCATTCAGTTTTATACATAATTCATGACAGAGCAACACCCTTTAAAAGTTGTGATGTCATCCTCGTGTCAATTGGAACGAATTTGTTCTCAATGTTTTAACAACCTCAATCCACTGCCGTCTCCTTGTACACCACACACAAGCTGGCGTTATACACGCTCTCGTGCACTCAGCCCATCTTCTCTGGAATGCCATAACCTATACGTTTCTGCAGGCTCCCTATCTCTTTTTACAAAATATACACTTTTTAGGGATCGACATACAAATCTAAACACACTCCATATATTCCTGGGTCTCTATTAGTTGTCTGCATTTCACATGAATCGCCACAACCCCTCTCTATTTAAACCAACAATGGTTTTCCCTTAAGTGCACTTGTATCTGCTTTTGTTTTGTATTCAGCAAAATTCTGGTAAACACCTTTAAAATGTTGACTTAAAGCTTTCGTGACTGCAGGAATTCATATTCTTTGGGTTTTTCGGTAAAGTCACGTAGATAGGTTCAAAGAAAATAACATAAAAAAACTATGACGTTTCGATCGCAGCACAAGCATTCATCATCAGGAAGAGGCCCTTTTTCCTGATGACGACCGCTTGTGTTTCGATCGAAACGTCATAGTTTTTGTTATTTTCTTTGAATCTATCTACGTGACTTTACCGAAAGACCCAAATAATATCTAGAACTTCCTGCCTTTCTGAACATGTCCTAACCACTGCTCTCCATAGTGTGTACATATATACGTAAATGTTATTGGTGCACTTGTATCTCTGCTCGGGATTTAATAGCATTACTACAATAAATCACTGTGTGGGGTGTTGGTATCAGCCCTAAGGAGACAAAGGCAGGTAGTAGGTATGCCTGGCAGTGCCCTCCTCACATGCTGCATGAGATTCACTGCCCTAAGTGATCTTTCGCCACAACCGTATTTAATTCCGATCCCAGTGCAACTGGGGCGGTGGGGGTGAAGGTGCTGTATAATGTGAGCATATGGGCACATTGGACATTGTTTATGCGAGCGTTAAAACACTCTATTGCGTGCAATAGAGTGCACCAGGGGGAGGCCTGTGTGCCACATGCTGCATATGCAGTGTGATGCAATTACTGTTGCAATGCATATCAACCAAAACTACCTGCTGAATTCCTCCCTCCAAGCACTCAGTGCCAGCAGCACATCCTGCTCAAACGCGCAGAGTGGTGAGGGTCGGCTGTCGGGGGGGTCCGGGATGTGGCAGAGAGCTGGGAGGGCCCCTGCCATCGTGGCCGAGTCGCCAGGGCTGCGGGTTCCATCACGAGAGGATGGCTCCGCCGTTTCTTGTTTGGACACAGCCTCCGAGCTGGTTGTCTGACAGCACGGTGTGCCGCACGCTTGTGTTATAATTATTACTACTATGCCTGTTCACCCACGAAATCCTTACTGAGTCTCAAGACTCTTCAGGTCACAGTAGGAGGCGATGTTGCTGTATTCCACTTGAGTAAGTTGCAGGTAATTTTTTAGCATTGGGATGTTTAGTGTTGGTTCACCAAAGTTCAAAAATCCTTCCGGTGGCAAGCATATTCCAGTGCTTGCAGGTTGCCTGCTGCAATTTTTTTGCACAGTGCAGGGGACTTCCTCAAGCAGTAGGCAGACCAAGAGATGTTGCATGGTCAGCATTTTGCTGCAGTTGCAGCTCTGGTTTTGGCCAATTCATGGTTGCATTGTTTCGTTGTTTAGCTGTGGGAGGAAACCAGAGAACCTATGCAGAACAGGGGAACACATACAAACTCCACCCAGAAAGATGCTCGAGTGGGGAATCAAGCTCAAGACCTTCTTGCTGTGAGGCACAAGTGTTACCAATGCACCACCCTGCCATTCAAAGCAGTCATTGTAGGCAATCTATAAAGTACTGGGAGCTACGAGCTCAACCCATGCTGGTGGTCTACACATGGTAGTCGTGATGTAAATAAGTGATCAATGATAGCTATAACTCCCAGTTCAGGATAGTCATGCTTTTTACTTAAAATGCTCTTGAGCCAATATTTACTCTAAAATATGACATCAAATGACCTCTTTAAGGATGAGCATTTATCAGGCGCTTCAATGCCCCAGCATCTTAAAACACCTTACATCTCAGTCATTCCAGTGCACAATGGTAGTTTTTGTTATTTTTAACCTAGGGGACCACATGATGACAGCTGTCCCTGTATGGCACAAGGTAACACAGGGCCGGCCTGCAAGTAAGCATTAGCCTGTCAGGGGAAATGTTGCTATTGGTTATTACAATTAAGTACCTCACAGGAACAAGGCCTGGGTTCAATTTCTGACTTGGCCACCTTTCTGTGTGGCGTTTGTTCTCCCCTTGTTCTGCGTTTCCTCCAGGTTCTCCGGTTTCCTCCCATAGCTAAATGCATACAATGTAACCGGTATCTACGGGAGACCCCTTGTGTCTGTATTAAGATGATAATTAAAAATAAGAAAAGGCATTATCCTTTCTGGCAATAATGCAGGTGTGAAGATGTGTAAACACCAATTAGACACCTATTACAAGGCATAACATCTACTTTGACCACACATAAAATGTAAAACATGCCAACAAATACACCAAAACCTTACCTATTGCAAAGGTTCCACAATTGAAAATCACAGAAATCAGAAAATACCAGATCCGCAAACTCAACGGCAAATGGGAAAACTAGGGTTTGGTTCCCAGTACGTAACCCAAACATGAGACAGTAAGAAATGTTCACGTAATGTATCAATATTCTCTTTCGTATTATGTATAACGTGTACAGTAAATGTATAGAATGCTAAATATTAATGTAGCATACTGTACTGTACACATGAACCTGAAAATAAAGATAAGGTTAATGACATGTATAGTATTTTGATTTAAAGCTTTCGTGACTGCAGGGATTCATATTCTTGGTTCTTTCGGTAAAGTCACGTAGAATGGAAATAAAATAATAAATATTGCTTTATATTTTTATTATGTTATTGTTTCCCTTCTACGTGATTTTTCTGAACGAACCAAGAATAGTACATGTATAGTAAATATGCAGTTTAAAAAATAACAAACTGAAAGTAGTTTTATTTACTATGAATGATGATGGTGTGTATTCTTCCGTGGGAGAATCATTGTGAGCAGCATAGTAGTGTACAGTACTTCTTTACGATGTGTACTGAATAGGAATCTTGCGGTCAAAGCCACGTATGATCGAGTCACGGGCGCAATCGGCCAACTGTACCTTAAATTTGGAGCGAATGGTCAAATTCGCGATGGGAAAACCCACGATGGGGCAAGGTTTTGGTGTATCCTTTGCTTATGTATTTGTAGTGTAACAGCGCCGGCTGTTGGACAGCAGCGGCAACTGTGGTAGACAGACAGTACACACGCTGGTGATCGTGGGTGCAGGTGTGTTAGCAGAGCGGAGGAACTAGGGCAGAGCACCCCATCTGGAGGTTCCTGGAACCTGCTAGCCGGTTTGAGAAGGGAGGCGCGGTCAGGGCGGAGCCAGGCCATGCTGGTAGCATAAAAGGAGCCGAGAGAGGAAGCTCGAGGCTGCTGATTCTGGGAGTGGACTCATCTCGTCATTGCTGTCGTCTCGTCGCCGTCGTCGCGAATCGTCTCCGCTAGATATTGCGCTATGAAGGATAATAGGTGGCTATCTCAGTCAGCACCGTCAGTGTTAGACGGCTATTGTTGTGTACAGGCTAGGCTAAGCTACTGTGGAGAGTGTGTGGACAAGACGATAGAAGTTGTTAATAAAGAAGGTGCCTCCTAGAAACTCTATCTCTGAATCGTTGACACTACATATGCATTCTATTTTTTTTTATTTCAATGTTACTGATATTGACCAAAAATGCCACTGCTAAAACAATACCTGCAGCTGACTCAATCACACATAGCACACAGCAACATTTCCCCGACTATGAAAATGTGGCAGGACCCTCCTGACAAAAAGTCTTGAGACTCGAGGCTTTCCTGGATAAACAAGCATCACAATAACAATAATAAAGATACACTGCATGGAGCATTGAAACTGTGTGTGGGTGTGTGGGTGCATGTGGGAGTTTCATACATTGAGCTTATTTCGCCGTGCTCTGAGGGCCTTCACAGGATTACCACAGATGACGCCGCTGCCTCCTGAAAATAAAAACATTAACACACATACATTAAAATTATTGTGTGAGCACTCAATACCACAATTTTACATTTCCATGTATGTATCATGACATTGGTAAGGGGTACAGGTACAATATGAATGCCATTATTTACAATGGTAATAATATTCATGAAATATTGCATTTCATCTTTTACCGTATCACTCTGAGTGCACCCGATCTCGTCGGAGGGTCATGCTAAGGAGGGTCAAGCCCGTTTAGTGTCTGAATTGGTGACTCGTATGTATGTGTAGTGTAATAGCGCCGGCTGGTGGATAGCAGCGGCGACTGTGGTGGACAGACAGTACATACGCCGGTGAGCGTGTGCACAGGTGTGTTGGCAGGGCGGAGAAACTGGGGCAAGGGCCACGGAGGACCCCGTCTGGAAGCCACTGGAACCTGCTAGTGGGTTCGAGAAGGGAGGGGCGGCCAGGGCGGAGCCAGGCCACGCTGGGTAAGATAAAAGGAGCCAAGAGCGGGAGCTCAAGGCTGCCGGTTCTGGGATTGGATTCATCTCGGCGTTGCTGTCGTCTCGTCGCTGTCATCGCTGCCGTCTCGTCGCTGTCATCGCTGCTGTCTTCGCTTGATATTGCGCTACCAGATAGTAGTTGCCTGTCTCAGTCAGCGCTGTCAGTGTTAGACGGCTAGTGTTGTGTATAGGCTAGGCTTAGCGACTGTAGAGTGTGTGGATGAGACTGTGAATGTTCTAAATAAAAGGTACCTCCTACAAACCTTGTCTCGGAATCACTGACACTACACATGCACGTATGTTAAACTTCTTTCGCACCATACATAGACAACCGTGCTAATCGGAGGTGCGGACTCCAGTGCACATCAGGTGTTGTGGCTGCGAGGGCTGAGCGGTGCTAGGAGATGTCAGTGCAGCAAAGTGGATGCGGTCCACAGATAGATTTTATCCCTATTGAGTCTGTGGATTGGATTTATCCATGAATATCTTTGCAAAATATCCCTTTGTATGAGTGCGGTTTATCTAGGAATTTTTGTTTTATCCAGAAGCCGAACACTCTTTAATGACGGTAGGAGACAGTAGCCTTCTCGCGGATCACCAGTTAAGTGTTTTCCTGTTACTGTACACAACTAATACCATCATGTCGGCTCATGAAGGGCCAGAAACTGATCGGACGATGTCTTTGAGCGTAATAACTAAATATTGAAGATCTTTCAAGACCTACATGTGATTTTCTGGCCAAGAACCTACGATAACATTTCTTTGGCATCACCTTACAGGAGACGTACATTGAGGACAGCAAGAGGATGGCAAGTTCCAGAATAAATGGATACTGTATATCCTCTTCAGCACCGTAGTCGTGAGGTACATCAGGCTCTCCGATCTTAAATTTACATTCAAATGACAGATTGACATGCTAATCTTTAGCAATACAATAGCCGCCTCTTGAACACCATAGTCGTGAGGTATATCAGGCTCTCCGATCTTACATTTACATGCAAATTACATCTCTAGCCCCGCCCACTTACCCTTGGGTTGCACCCATCTCAAACCTATATAACCTCTTGCTGCAGCAGCTCTCCCACTATATTTCTCCTGCCTAAGCAGTTTGCCTGCTGTATTTTTTTACCTGAAGACGATTGCTCATGTTGCGATCGAAACGTCATGATTTTTTTTTATCTGCCTGACTTTACCGAAAGACCCAAAGAGTATGTATATCCTTGTTCAGCAGTCTACCACCCTAAACATGGCTTCGCCACCTTCATCAGACAAGGCTTAAAAAGGACTATGCTTTCAAGTCCACTATCATAAGGGATGGCTGATGACGGAAGCTTGTGTTGTCTCCGAAACGTCGTGAAAGAACCAAAGAGTATGGATCATTGCAGTCACGAAAACTTTAAATCTAGAACCTGGAACTATATGGACAACAATGGCATTGCAAATCTCATCACTGTCATGCACAAAACGGGCAAAATTCTGAAAGTAAGACAGCAAGCCAATGTCACTGCCATTCTTAAACCCAGAACGCCGCAAGACTTACCCTCCAGGTACAGGCCAATATTCCTATTGCCTTCCACCTCCAAGCTGATAGAACGTGCCATGCTTGCCAGACCCTCATCTGCCATTACCGACCCCCAAATGCCTCCCAAACAAACTGGATATCGAACTGCCCGTAGCTGCTGCGAACAGATCGTTACCTTCACCACCCTCATAGAAGTTGGTTTCCAGCGTCAACAGAAAACCGGCAAATAAATCATTGACCTCTCTGCTGACTATGGCACCAATGTGTCATAGCCAGCTACTGAAGATGACTAATGAACAATGGCCTCCCTCAGGGCTCGTTACTCGTACCAAGTTCATATATGCAGATGACGTAGCCTGTACTGCACACGGTACAAACCTTGCGAACATCGCACCTCTGATTAGCACGGTTGGCAACGTACGGTGCAAAAGAAGTTCAACATATATATTCCAAGTACTCTAACAGCTGATTTCATGTTATTTGAGGCATATTTCTGCCACTGGAGACTCTGACCAAATCCCTAGAAAACCACCACAAACGCTTTCCACCTGCCCAATCAGGCAGCAAAAGCTACCCTTCATGTATCCTTCTGCGGTATCCCAGTGCACTATGACCCCACTCCAAGATATCTAGGAGTTATCATGGATAAAAGCCTGACCGTCAAGCCCCACACAAATCAAGGATTTGCCCTGCTATAGAAACTTGACCTGGGGCACTTCAGCTGAGGTGCTGTTAACCGCTGCCCTCTCAACAATCTACCCCGTGGTAATAGTATTCCACTTCAGCTCCACCTGGGAGGTAATATACAAAACTGCTAGATGCATAAATAACACAATGCACACAATAAGCAGAATACTGAAATTGACACTAATCCCCTGGTTCCCTGTTATAGCGAACATTCTACAACCAAATATCCACAGAGACATGAAAACTGCAAAAGAGTTTACACGTTTTATTTCCAACAATAACCTACGAATAAATCAAGATGTAAACAATGTACCTCGGTACTGACTCAAGTCCTAATCCACCTTCCAGGATTGTACTGTCACCATTCTAGAATCTAACCCAGATACAGAAGAATACTGGCAAACAGAGTGGAACAATGCAGATATCAAGAATAAATACATAATTGGAAACCCAAACTTCGCATCTCCTGGCTTTGACATTCTGCGAAGACACTAATGTACTATCAACCACATCATAGCGTCAACAGGCGAATGTGCACATCTTCGGTTCTTTCGGTAAAGTCACGTACAGTGAGGGAAAAAAGTATTTGATCCACTGCTGATTTTGTACGTTTGCCCACTGACAAAGAAATGATCAGTCTATAATTGTAATGGTAGGTTTATTTGAACAGTGAGAGACAGAATAACAACAAAAATATCCGTAAAAACGCATGTCAAAAATGTTATGAATTGATTTGCATTTTAATGAGGGAAATAAGTATTTGACCCCTCTGCAAAACATGACTTAGTACTTGGTGGAAAAACCCTTGTTGGCAATCACAGAGGTCAGACGTTTCTTGTAGTTGGCCACCAGGTTTGCACACATCTCAGGAGGCATTTTGTCCCACTCCTCTTTGCAGATCTTCTCCAAGTCATTAAGGTTTCGAGGCTGACGTTTGGCAATTCGAACCTTCAGCTTCCTCCACAGATTTTCTATGGGATTAAGGTCTGGAGACTGGCTAGGCCACTCCAGGACCTTAATGTGCTTCTTCTTGAGCTACTCCTTTGTTGCCTTGGCTGTGTGTTTTGGGTCATTGTCATGCTGGAATACTAATCCACGACCCATTTTCAATGCCCTGGCCGAGGGAAGGAGGTTCTCATCCAAGATTTGATGGTACATGGCCCCGTTCATCGTCCCTTTGATGCGGTGAAGTTGTCCTTTCCCCTTTGCAGAAAAACACCCCCAAAGCATAATGTTTCCACCTCCATGTTTGACGGTGGGGATGGTGTTCTTGGGGTCATAGGCAGCATTCCTCCTCCTCCAAACACGGCGAGTTGAGTTGATGCCAAAGAGCTCCATTTTGGTCTCATCTGACGACAACACTTTCACCCAGTTGTCCTCTGAATAATTCAGATGTTCATTGGCAAACTTCAGACGGGCATGTATATGTGCTTTCTTGAGCAGGGGGACCTTGCGGGCGCTGCAGGATGTCAGTCCTTCACGGCGTAGTGTGTTACCAATTGTTTTCTTGGTGACTATGGTCCCAGCTGCCTTGAGATCATTGACAAGATCCTCCCGTGTAGTTCTGGGCTGATTCCTCATCGTTCTCATGATCATTGCAACTCCACGAGGTGAGATCTTGCATGGAGCCCCAGGTCGAGGGAGATTGACAGTTGTTTTGTGTTTCTTCCATTTGCGAATAATCACACCAACTGTTGTTACCTTCTCACCAAGCTGCTCGGCAATGGTCTTGTAGCCCATTCTAGCCTTGTGTAGGTCTACAATCTTGTCCCTGACATCCTTGGAGAGCTCTTTGGTCTTGGCCATGGTGGAGAGTTTGGAATCTGATTGATTGCTTCTGTGGACAGGTGTCTTTTATACAGGTAACAAGCTGAGATTAGGAGCACTCCCTTTAAGAGTGTGCTCCTAATCTCAGCTCGTTACCTGTATAAAAACACGTGGGAGCCAGAAATATTTCTCATTGAGAGGGGGTCAAATACGTATTTCCCTCATTAAAATGCCAATCAATTTATAACATTTTTGACATGCGTTTTTCTGGATTTTGTTGTTGTTATTGTCTCTCACTGTTCAAATAAACCTACCATTAAAATTATATACTGATAATTTCTTTGTCAGTGGGCAAACGTACAAAATCAGCAGGGGATCAAATACTTTTTTCCCTCACTGTAGGTATAAAATAAAATGAATTAAATCACGACGTTTCGGACACAACACAAGTGCCCGTCATCAGGTGGAACAACCACGCAAGAAACAATTGCTGAAGTGCTCCGATTTGAACTTGATATTTTAGACAAGACTCTCTTAC